CACCTGAACTAGAGGGAACTTGACAACCAGAGAAGCCCACACTTAACAGAACTTCAAATCTCAAAGCTGTTGGTTTGAAGCATCTTCTGCTACCCTGAAAGTCTGAAGTGAATGTGATTGTGTCAGGGAGTTTGGTGAAATGTCCTTCCCTTAACTGCTTGCAGATGAGCTGCACCTCCAACCACTGGATGCAGATGTGCTTAGAAACTAACGAATCTATCCTTTACTGCCAAGGCTGATGAGACAGTAGCTTGGTTTTAGGGCTCCTCAGCGAGAGAAGGGCTTATTGCTCACTCCATTTCTGTTCATTCCAGGAGTTGCATTTCAAGAACCGTTACTGGCATGACAACTGCTTCCGCTGCTTCAAGTGCTATACGTCCTTGGTCAATGAGCCCTTCATGCTGAGGGAGAACAACAAGGTTTGGTGTAGCAACTGCACTGCCACTGAGGATGCACCCAGGTGTAAGGGCTGCTTCAAGCACATTATTGCAGGTACTGGTGCCGGTGATAGGGGTACAACTGCCAAATTCTGCTCTAGGGCAAAACCATGGCAGTTTATCAAGCTGTGGAGGCTGCAGTTAGGGCTATGGGCATCATAGTGGAAGGCTGGAGCACCACAGAATGGTGCGAGATTTGGCTGTTGCTCTCGCCTGTCCATTTTATTCAAGTGTTGAAAGGCTGCTTTGCAGTTAACCCTCATGTGGATAGGTCACCCTAGTAGTTAGTCTTAAACCATTTCTACCAAAAGCTTTGCTCTGTAAACCAAGGTCCTCTTCTCAGAAAGGCTCAGGCGCCTGTCTGACGACTGTTTTAAGAAAATCTAGAAGGCCCTGACTAAAGTCAGATACAGAAATTAACAGCTTGTCCCCTGTCCACGTTACAATTGGATCCTGGGCATAGGTATGGACAGGTCTTGCCTACAGGTATGTTACATTGCACAGGGTGGGAGTTTGTCACAAGCCTGAAATCCCACATAACAAGTTATTTCTGTCTGTTGTAGGAGACCAAAATGTTGAGTACAAGAAGATGGTCTGGCATAAGGACTGTTTCACTTGCAGCCAGTGCAAGCAAGTGATTGGATCTGGGAGCTTCTTCCCCAAGGGTGATGACTTCTACTGTGTCTCCTGCCATGAGCATAAATTTGCCAAGACCTGTGCTAAATGCAAGAATGTAAGTAAGCCCCGCCACTTTGCAAAGGCAGCTGTCAGAACTAGCCCTCACATGTCTCTTTGAAGCCAGGAGACGAAACCAGTAGACAGATCATGCTGGAGCTGTACCAATGCTTATGTTCTTTCCTTGAGATACTGGTGCAAGCAGCTGGCAGTATAATGATGTGAGAGCTAATGGTTCTTGCACATTACAGTATCTGAGCTGGGGCTGTGGGGTTATCTGATGGCAACTCTGCTGAAACCAGGTGGGCACTGGCCTTGCACTTGCTTTGGGGATGGCTTAAGCTCTCTAGTAGGTATTGTGTATTCCAGCAGTAAAACAATGTTTTATAAAACAGCTGTCTTACAGCTTTTGCAACTGATTAGTGTAGAATTGCAGAGCCACTGCAGGTAAAATAAACCGTTATGAAAGCTCCAGGCATGCAGGATTTCAGGCTAGAGGAACTCAAGTGCTGCACCATTTTAATGAAAACTTTCAAGAGATCTTCTCCATGACAAAGCCCTCCTACCCTACACCCCATGCCTGCATCACCTTTCCTCCTCCCTACCGATTCTGAAACGCACCTCTGCTCTTTGCCTCCTAGCCCATCACTTCTGGAGGCCTCACTTACCAGGAACAACCTTGGCATTCAGAGTGTTTCATTTGCTCCAACTGCAAGAAGCAACTGGGGGGGAAGCGCTTCACAGCTGTAGAGGATCAGTTTTACTGTGTTGAATGCTACAAGGAGTGTGTTGCCAAGAAGTGTGCTGGCTGCAAGAATCCTATTACAGGTATGTTGGATTAAATGCAGCTTGACGGCAGTGGGTGCTTAAGGTCAGAACAGCGATCCCCAAAGACATGCAGCTCAGAAGCTGCTAACACCAGAAGCAGGTCTAGTATCCCAAGCCCAATGGCAGCAATTTACATGTGATCTATCAGTCACGTGCTCTTGCTGGATGGGGTCTGAGTTAGTAACTGAGCTCTTCACCCTTTGCACACCTCAAATTTACCTCCTTCAAAACTTCCCCACCTAGAACTGTTCCCACCTATATCTTAGTCTGGGAACCTTAAGTCTAAAAAGAGCAGTGTTTTATCGCCCCGAAGTGACAATTGCTTCACTTCTGATGTATTTTACATGTCACAGTTACTGGATCACAAAGCTCAGCCCTGAAATGTGGGCACTATCCTGCCAGCCCCATGAGACTTGCATTCCATTCTGCATTTTAGATAATGGATCTGAGCCCATAAAAACCAGGTAGGGCGTTTAGCCCGACCTGTCCTTGCTCTACAACTTGATCTTTCCTTCAGCTCGACTGTTTCCTGGAGAAGGGATCCAAGGGAAAAAGCTTATTGCAGAGACAAGCCACACAAGCCTATGCTAAGCTGCCTGTTTCTCTAAGAGCAGTAATACTGAGCAGCAACGATGTGGGTTCAGTTGCAGTTTTGGTTAGTATTTTAGGCATACAAATGTGGTCTGCAAGACTACAGAAGCACAGGAGGCAGTAAGAATGGGATCTGCTGTTTGGTGGGCTGACCCAGCCAAGGGAAAAGCTACTATCGTCGTCCTATAATTGTTTTCTCTCCTAGCAGGATTTGGAAGAGGAACCAGTGTGGTTAACTACGAAGATGAATCCTGGCACGATTATTGTTTCAAATGCACCAAGTGTGCCCGTGGTCTGGCCAACAAGCGCTTTGTTTGCCATAATGGAAAAATTTACTGTGCTGAGTGTCCCAAACGACTGTAAGGAGCAGACGGCAACTGCTGTAAAATGGATTTTAGAGCCCTGCTTTCCAAAACAGTCCTGGTAAAAGAGCAGGTTTTTGCATGTTAAGAATTTTAACTTTTTCCATTTTAGTATAAAAAATAAAGTAGCCTCAGTATACCGGGTTTGACTTTTGAAGCTCCTGCAGTACGAAAGCATGTAGCGTTGCAAAAATCTAACTTTGCCTCCAAGTAACTCTTAGTGTAAAGGCTTGAAATGCTGTTAGATGTAGCATTAGAGATCTGGATACTACATAATCTGCGTGTGGCTTAAACTAAAACAAAACTAGTTTTACACTTGCCTGGTATACATTTAAGCTTGGCACTTAAATGAACTAAGTTTGACAAGGCATGCACCTCAGAAACAGAGATGCAAAGATTGCACCCGGGATCAGAGAGATCCGTTATTATGCTTTTACAAGTACAGGTACATTACATACATCACACCATTAATAGCAGCTTAATAATAAATAGCCTAGCTTACCCTACCACACCAAATTGCAGCAAGTGTATGGAATGGCTTCATCTTATACATATAACAATGTTTTGGCAGTACGATTTAGCTTTAGTTAAGTTTCCATAAACTTATTTTAGTCTCAATTTCCGCATGGTTTGTCCAAAAATTTTGCTCATCAGCTTTTTTACATCATTGTTTAAATGAGGCTGTCTATATACAATTATTAATCCATTAACAAGAAGTATATCTATCTTTCAGCTACAACAAAATGCACATGCATTTAGAAGTGCCTTAAAAATAGCTCAGACAATGATAGCTCTCCTATCCTGTCAGTGTATGTTTTATGATTTAATAAAAATGAGACTAGTGCCTGCTTGGAGTCCTACAGTCTGGAAAATTGTTTTTTCATTTTGCCACCTTACATGATTGACACCTCTTATGGCCGAGCTACTGAAATCAGGTCTGATACATTGATACTGGCAAAGTGAAGAGTCAGCTGTTGTGCCATAGCACCCTTAAATATCTCAGGACCAAAGCAACAATTTCCATAAACTAATTAATTTTTTAAATGTGTAACTGACACTGGACCATCTGCCAAGAACAGCCTGTGTGAAAAAGCCCGTTGGAGAACATATGTATAGCCACTGTCCATACACAGATCTACTACTACTACCCTTCAGCAACCTGAACGCTGGTTTAAGGTTTTTTTTACATGGCAGTGGTTGATACCATATAGAAATATTTATCAACTAGATGCTGCTCTAGACATTCCCTTTCGTTCACAAGCACCTACCAGAAACAAAGAACCCTTGCAGAAAAAACAAAAGGCAGCATCTTGCTGTATTCTTGACGGTCACTGCTCCACTGTGGCCATGGGGCACTGTTAGACTCACCATTAGAACATAAAGATGCTGGTGCTACAAGTAAAAAGCAAAGGCTTACAGTGAAAAGCAAGTTAAAGAATTCCACAGTTACGAACACGTCATCGGCATGTACAACCACAGCCAGATCTGAAGGTGTTAGTACAAATACCTTCCCAACCACACAAATGCAACTGCCAAAGAGGCTACTAGTTTTGGGAATCTGCAGTGTGGAGTAGTTAGAGCAGTACCAGAGTGCATCTCAAGGCAGCTCAGCATGGCAAGGGGTTGGAGACTCCTAGTAAGGTAATATTTAGCATTACAGAAATAAAGCATTGTTCAACTGCAAAGTTTATTTAACAGTGCGCACATATTTACATAGAGCTGTAACACACCATTCAACAAATAATATCAGTACAGAAAAAATATCTGCATCTTTTTTGTTAGAATGATTGTCTCTGCCAGAATGAAACAGCTATCATACAAAAATACATTTTTCTTTTTACCTAAGGCACTGCTCTAAGGTCTAAAACAGTTCTACCGTATTCTGAATAGCAAACAGTGAGAGTTAGAAGGCTGAGGGTTTCCTATTGTAACTGTGATGTCGAGGAAAGAACACATTTAGTTCCAGCAAAACCATTTGCATTTAACCACTGAAAACACAGCTGCCATTTGGATGATTCATTTGAATTGAAGTATCAGCCACTGGTTTATAGCAGGATTTGAGACAGCTATTCTTTAAAGTAATCACTTATCCAGTATATCTGTTACAGGAGACATAAGAACAAGACTGCATTATTACTTTTAGTAGCAATTTTCAGAAGATGCTTAGTTAATCTCTTCATGCTGTAAAAAGCAGGCAAGTGTAGGTTAAATAGATTACTTAATGCAGGCTTTAGGGGAAGGGAAATATATATGCAGCTTGCAGCCACTGTTATAAAGCTAGAACAGGAACACTTACTTAGAATAATTAACATGAACAACACATGACTTCAGTGGTCTAATACTGTTATGTACACAATAAAATAATACTTCCATGAGTGTAGATAAACTTAAATAAGTAATTCAAAAGGAACACATTTTTAAAAGCATGACATGTTAAACTGCTCTACGACAGACATATCTAGGTACTCAACATTTTTGTAACATATTAGTGCATATGCTGTAAAATGTTGTGATGTTTTCCAACAGATTAAAACATATTAGCCATAGTACACTACTGCATTTTGAAACTGCCAATATTTTCACGTTAGAAAATAAGAATTTCTTCTTCTCCATTCAAAATTGAAGATATTCAATTCTGCATTTTTAAATAGCATGTGAACCAACAAGTAACAGCGTTTTTTCTAGAACATTACAAAAGGAGTTCAGCTTTAACACACACTGAATGAGTCTTATTTCATCAAGTGCCATTTTAGGAATATGCAAAATCTGGCCAGTAGCTAACTGGGGAGCCTCCAGTGGCACGTTGCTGTACATGATACTGATATGAAAATAAAAAGACTCAAACAGGTTACTGTAAAGTCTGTAAAAGGGAAACAAGTGATATTTAAACAAGGAAATCTTATCTAACAATTAGCTAAACGAATGGAAAAGGAACATCAGCACAATAGTTTCCCTGAAATGTTTCAAGGTGCAAATCTAGAAGTCTGCCATCCCTCCCTGGTGTTTTTTGTTTTTTTGCAAACTTGAAGATGGATAAAGTTAAACAAGCAGCTTTTCAAAACAAGGCCTTCGGTACTTGATAAAACACTGGATTACTGAAGTGCAATCACATTATTTCCAGGTCTCTAGTGTTCACAGTTCTGTCCAAAGAGCAAAGAGAAGAAAACATTTAACCATCGTAACTGTGTGTATGCCACATATGTCTATCATCACTGTCAGAGTCTACAATCCAGGGAGTGAGCACAGAACCACGTGGTTACTTACGGTCCAAAATCAGCGCAGCAGCTTTTTTTATATATGAATATTAGTTTTCAAAGTTATGTACATAATTCTTAAACCATATGATGTCTAAACATTTTAAATTTCAAAATTAAAAGGCAACACTTTCTTCACTAAAAAGTTAATGATTTTGATCAGAACAAAATGTGATCAGCAGTACCACATTAAAACCATCTATTCCCATGGCCCAGTTAGTCGTGGCCCCAAGGGAAGTCTAAATAAGGCTATACCCATGGGACTAAAATTCACAAGACGCAGAGTGACAGAGGAGACTCAGGAAACAGTTCAGTCTAGAAAAGTGCTACACTTTAATCAAAAAAAGTGCTACACATCATCACTTAAAGAAAATGTGGATAGCAAGCCTTGTTTTTTCCACCACCATTCATTTCAACTGTTCACACAGTCATTTATCTCACAGAAAGAGATCTCCTGCTGTGAGTACATCCATTTGGGGTTTAGCTCCAACACCAGTGAAGTTTAGTCTTACATAAACCAGTTTACTGAAGCCTCTCTGACACGCTATGCTGTACTGCATCAGGGTTTGGCTTCTCAAGTATATGTGGCTTCAGATGCAGCCCTGCTTCCTTCAGAAAATTCAGAATATTCTGTGTGCAGCTTTATGACTCCTCCCAAAATGTAACACAACCATCTGTGGAATTTAAGGTTGGTGTTACCCCCCTCAGTGAAGTGAAAGACTATTCTACAGTAAGTGGAGAGGACAGCTAATACCTTGCCAGAACCTGAAGAGACCTTGTAAGACCATGCAGGTCAGCATCAAAAAGTTACAGAACATGCCTAGGAGTGGAAAGGTCTTGTCTGTAGAGTTACATCAGACACCTTTTAAACTGTTAGTATCTTCAAAAGTAACATGTGCCATTTAAGATATCTTAGAAGGAGCTTAAAATGCAACAGATGGGCTTGAGTGCTGGTAGGAGATACAGGAGCTTCACAGGGGCTCAGCTGTGTCTTTGGAAAAGCCTTAGGTGCTGTCTAGAGCAAGTCCCTAAAAAGGCATCAGTTGGTGACTCCTTTTGACAGAATGCAAGTTACAAGCACTAAAGAAAGAGCTTCCCCTCCGGTCTACACATTGGAAAAAGTGCCTTGAAAACAAGAAGCTGTAGTTAAGGCAAGGAGAGCAAAATGCAAGGAAGTCAATTACCTAGCCAGAGGAAGAGACAGATAGGGAAATCAGCTTGGATTACCTGATGAAGCATCTATAGGTTTGGTCAATGAATTCACTGCACCGTCTTCCTCAAAAGCCAATTTGGGACTAGAAGGTATTATAGCAGCGTCATTCAAGTTTTGATTACAGTTACCGGCAGAGATGCTGTCCGAGCTCAGTTTGGTTGACTTGGAATGTACTCCAACGTCAATAAACTCCTCAAAAGTCCATGAACCAGATTTTCCGTTAAGATTCTGAGTAAGTCCAATTGTATGATCAGCTTCGTTAACAACCAACTTCACTGACTCATCGATAACCGTTTCTTTTGCAGGTTGGCTAGAAAAAAAAAAGAATGGATACTTCTATTACAATTTCTGCATGTTTAACCTTTAGATTGATTACAGGCCAGCCAATTAGCAGTCTGCATACTTTGCAAAGCACTGAATATCCTGAAGGGCATTCCCAGACAAATTCCTCCAGCTGCCACGCAGGATCTCCCCTCCAAGAGCCAATGGGGAAGAACGACTCACCAATACATAGCCACTTTTTACTATACTAATAGCTCCCAGGTAAGGTCTAGCTCCAGAAATTTGGTATAAGAAAACAAGTTTAAAGCCCTGCACCATTAAAACCTATTTTAGTAGTGTGCATTTTTCCTTTTTCTCCAGTTAAGACTTTTTAAACACAAAACTGAGCCTCAGAAGACTAGCAATATTTAAAACAGATTCAAAAGCTAAACCCGAATCAGAGTGATCCATTTGCATTCATTCTTAAGAAAATCATGAAAATGTCTTTATATTCCATCACTGGAGGAATGAGATTAATTTATCACCACTTTAAAAAAAAGAGTTCACAATGTCACTTCTAAATCATTAGCATTTAGATGAGCAAATAGAACAAGCATCAGAGGACAGATTTTCCAGTAGTAGATGGAAATGCTTTATGTTCAAAAAGATAAAATTTGAAATACTAAAAAAATTCCCATTAAGGGAGGCTTTTGTGTTGTATCTGGTGTTTCAGCACAACTGAAACTGTTCTAGAGCTTTCTGTAGGTTATTTTTCCTTTTCAGTGTTGTCCCCCTCTCTCCTGTTTAATGTTTTGTTAATGAAAAGAACTGCTAGCCATTTCAAGGGAAAAGATTTCAAGCCAATGCCATTCTTTATGAGTAACACTGCGACGTTGCTGGCTATGTGTCTCACTTCTTAGCAAACCCAGTACTGTTAACATGGTGCCATCTAAACAAACAATTATCCTGAACTAACTGTCTCTGCGTGAAGCAGTGAACTGACAGCATGCACACACCACATGCCTGCAGCAAGCCAGAGAAATACCACAAAGCTAGCGGGGTGCAAAATTTGAGACAACGCTACATACAGCACTAAACTTAATTTAAACACAGAGAGAGATTTCTAGTGTGACGGATAACTGCTCTAACAGCAAAGCAGCCACCTACACAGACTCACCTGCAATCCTTTAATTCAGTAACAAGTAGAGACCCCTCATCGCTTTTCAAATCGTCTCCATTCATAAACACTTCACTGGCCTTCAACTCTGACACATCTTGTTCCTCAGATTCTGTAGAGATCAAACTATGCGCAGTCTCTAAACAACCCTCTGCCTCCCCCTTGACTTCCTGGGCCACGTCAATGCCATTTAGCTTTCCTGAAAGGGGGGGGGGGGGAGGGGAAAGAAAGAAAGGAAAAATGGTTAGATGGTCGCATCCAGAGGGTAGTGGTCAATGGCTCAATGTCCAGATGGACATTGGTGACGAGTGGCGTCCCGCAGGGGTCTGTATTGGGACCAGTACTGTTTAATATCTTCATCAATGACATAGACGAATTGAGTGCACCCTCAGCAAGTGTGCAGATGACACCAAGCTGAGTGGTGTGGTCGACACACCAGAAGGACGGGATGCCATCCAGAGGGACCTGGACAAGCTCGAGAAGTGGGCCCGTGTGAACCTCATGAGGTTCAACAAGGCCAAGTGCAAGGTCCAGAAATCTTAATTCAAATGATTAATCATTTTTCAAAATTAATAGCACCTGAAAATACAGGCCAAGATTGGAAATTCCTCTCGCAAACATAACTTAAATGAGATAATTGTAATAAACTAATTATAAACTCACACCAATTATCACATTTTAAGTGCAACCATGGGCCAGGTCAGCCAACATTTAAAATCTTTCCCAACAGCACTACAGTGAAGCTGGGAACAGTCTGCAACCACATGAACCCCTTTTTGCAGAACGTACGCAAGCTCAAATCCGCTCTCCTTTGCCCACGGAGAGCTGAACCATGGTCATGCTCCATGTCACCAGAGCATGGCCATCAAATGATGGCCATGAGGATCATTTCCAGTGCCTGTGTGCTTGGGGATCCTAAGAATTCCTGAGACAAAACTGGGCTTTGGTCTGTCAGGGCGTTGCATGACTTCTGTCACCAACCAGAGCACAGGGCATGCAGCACCACTTGTGCGGTGCTGGGGTAGGATTTTTAACTAGTTGCTTTAATGTATGACAGTTTTTACGCTGAGGGTGGTGAAGCACTGGCACAGGTTGCCCAGAGAGGTGGTGGAATCGCCATCCCTGGAAACATTCAAGGTCAGGTTGGACGGGGCTCTGAGCAACCTGATCTAGTTGAAGATGTCCCTGCCCATGGCAGGGGGGGTGGACTAGATGACCTTTAGAGGTCCCTTCCAACCCAAACTATTCTATGATAAAAAAAAAAAGAAAAAGAAAAAGAGCTTCAGTAACTGAATTGCTATTCTAAATGAATAAAATACAAGTGCTAAAATGACCTTTCCTAGCCAAAACTCGAGGCACTTGGCTTCAATAGATTCATTTCTCTATAGACAAGCTGCCTATAACAACATGAAATTTGTTTTCCCTCTTTAAAAGTACACTTGTAAAATGAAAGCATGCTGCTTGCATTTCACACTCAAATAATTTTTGCATTTAATCATTTTGACTGTCTCTTGTGGTACAGAACTGGCAATGATCTACTCTGTTCAAGCAGAGAGCCTCCCTGGCATTTCTGGGACTTGTGTCTCAGACCATCACTGCTGTTACGTGAGTGACCTTTTTAACAATGTTTAAACATCACTGAGACACTGACTGCCACTTAGACCTGACTCATCAAGTTTCCTTACCTGGTTGATCAGTCTTCTCAAGACCCAACTCTTCCTCCTCTTCAATATCCTCTCCCTCCATAGCCTCAGAGACAGACTTCCCTTCATTCTGCAACTGAATTGCCGGAGTGTTACTTAGAATAACTCACTACCCTCTAGCATTTCACAAATTGTTCAATCACAGCTCTCATGCAGGACTATTCTGCGCCCAGCAGTAAGGCCACACTAGTCCAAAGGCATTAGACAGTCAGCTCACCCAACAACACATGCTCTGCTGAGCCAGAGCCTGTAAAGGAACCTGTGGGACCCACTTCCACCTCCTACCTAAGAATTATTCTCGAGTTCCTTTTCCCCTCATTTCTCCAAGGTGTGTGCTAAATATTTATTGATTTTCAGCTATGTGAAGACTTGGGTCTTTGAATGTTCAGAGAACAACAACTACTCCTCAATATAATATGCATAATTTACCACAAACCTTAGGTCACTACATTAACAAAAATACATCCAGTTTACTGTAGCAATCCAAGAGGCATCCAAGATTTGCTTTAAGCAAACAGATGAAGCCAGGAATTTAAGTTTTCTGGGGAAAAATAGCCCCAGCAGAATGCATACAGTTTAAAAAAAAAAACCAAAAAACATTCATCACTAACCAGTGTTTTTTTTAAACCAATCTGCAAGTGGTAACGCCAGATCACATTGTTTCTATATGCCTTGAACAAAAATGCATCAAAGACTTTTTGTCAGAACAAGCAAAGCGGAAGAATGCGTGCAATGGGAAGCTACTGAAAATTATTCTGGTGCACCAGAACTTTGCACTTCACATGGAAGCTAGTTTGTGTAAGGATAACAGAGGAAGACAGGATACAAGGCAAAGCCTTCTCTGGGAAGGGCCTATCCTGTCATTATACAGATCCAAACAAAAAAGTACCTTGGATTCGTTTTGATCTGATTTTCGTGTTCTTTTCATTATTTCTTCGATTCTCTGTTAAAACAGGGGAAATATTTGCAATGACATACAGACCTTTATATTTCAGCATTCCAGTTTACATTTTCATCAATCATAATATATTTTAATATTTCATAAATTTAATACTTTATTCACCATTTTTAAAGCTCACAAGCCAGAGCTGGCTTTTTTAAAAGAACACACTACTTCTGTTTAAATGCATCTGAGACCATTTGCCCGTTCAGTTTAACACCTCAACCACTATTTTACGCTGAGAAATCTCTCTGCTTTCAAAACAGTATACCTTTTTTCTTTCAAGCCTTTCCTGCATATTTTGCTGCATAATTCTCTCTCTTTCCAGCCGCTGTCTTTCAGCCTCTTCTTGAGCTTTTGCTTCAGCTTCTTCTCTCTGAAAATAAAACAAAAAGAAGAGAGCACACAGTGCACAACTCACTCCCAAGAGTCAAAAGCAGAGCTGTTACAGAGATTCTGGTTCAACACAGACAGGAACATCAGACAATCACTATTTAATATTACCATACATTGCAGCTAAATGCCAATTACCCAGCTACTGACATGAAATATATATTACTATGACATTCAGAAACTGATCTGAAAAGAAAAATGATGCGCATGGCTATACTGTGATTATGCAAATGTTCTGAATGTTGTTGAGCTACTACTCAGGGTTCAAACTATATTTCAGGATGAAGATTTGTCTAAGAAGGATAAATTTATAAAGTAACAAGACAGCAATTAAATTCTAAATGTGGCAAGGTTAACTTAAAAATCTTGGCAGTCAGGTATTACTACCAAGATACTTGGTGCTGAACATCTTCTGTCTCTTCTACACTGGAAAAATCTTTTCCAGTATGACTGGAAAGAAGATAGAAGCATAATTAACACTCTGAATAATTGTTATAAACTTAAACAAGCTTTTAAAGAAACATTCAGACATGTCAATGCTATCCATAAGATACAGCTTTTTAAACACAAAGAATTTCATTGTAAAACTGCTTCAATTTTCAAAATTAATCTCATTTAAATAAAGTCCACTTTCTGCAAAACAGCTTCCTTCAGTTAGAAGGATGCCTTTGTAAAGATACACAGATACTAGCTGTGGAAGACTATTTAGCAACCGGAAAAACAGACTTCGAAGCACTACCAATCTTTCTTTTAAAGGAATCAAAGCAAGCCAGATAACTTTCCAGACAGACCTCCTCCTTATAGTCCGTAGTGGTAAGCTGGTAAAGTGGGCTCAGTACAAATATTTTACATATGCAAAATAGCATCCCAGATGGCTAAAAAAAATTCCAAAGTATCTGCTTCTGCCCCACACTTGAATTTATCAAATGTTGGAAAAGAATAAATAAATCTCAGACTAGGGCAAGGAAAGGACTTCAAGGCATTCTCAAATCCACCTCAGACAGGATGAACTCTGCTTTAGATCGTTCCTGACAGAGATTTGTCAAAACTGTTCTGTGAAAGAAAATCAAAGACAACCCCCTTGAAAACACGTCAGCAGCTTCTATGAGGAACACAGTTGGAGCCTACAGATAAGCAGACCTGGTGCTGAAGCTCTGCAAGTTTTTCCTGCTCTTCCTGTTCTCGACGAATCCTCTCCTCTTCAGCTTGTCTTTGTTGTTCTTCATAAACCAGTCTCTTTTCTTCCTCCTGCTTGCGGAGCTCCTCCTCCCGTCGTGCTTTTTCCTCAGTTGCTCTTTTTGCCATTTCTTCTTCTCTGATTCTAGTGTTTCCAAGATACAGATTACTGACTAGATATTTATTTCTTTAAAAGTGTGCATGCACGTGAGACAGACCAGGAAAGCAAGGAATTTCTAAGTTATCCAATCACAAAATAACTGCGTAAAGATACTTTCTGGTGTGGATTTACAAATGCCACCATCCAGGTGGCATTTCCTTTTTCAAAGGAAAAAGCAGAGTAACTTGGAAGAAACTGTCTATGAGTACATAAATGTTCTCTGCTGATTAAGTCAAGGCCAAGGCAGGTTGCTCCAATAATGGAACGTCTGATTGAGAACTGGATTAAGCAACAACTATCTAATAAATACCACCTGCATCCATGACACGAATGAAGCTTTTAATCACTGTCAAACATAAATTCAGTTGGATTTTCTAAAAGACTGTTTCTTCTATAGTCCGAATTCCAGAGATATACTGCAGGCGTACACTGCCAGATCATGCAGATGTACACAACAGATTTGATGACATATTTCTGATAAAATATCTGTAGCAGACTATATGCAAGCTTATGACAGCTTTATACCCATGAGTGGAAAACAGACAAAAGCTGATGTTCCATCATGTTCACAGAAGCACAGACAGGTGACCCCTGATCTGGAATAAAGTTAGTCAGCACAAAGTTAGTAATTTATTTTTAACAACTTCTATGCAGTGAACCAAATGCACACTGATTTATCACTTTGAATTACTTGGCTGCAACATTTCTGATCCAGATTTCAGATCACTAACATGATATTTAAGGTACCATCAAACCACTGCTTGAGTTCATCAAAGGAAAGTTTAATACAGAGAGGTTGACTGTTTCAAGACAAATACAAACAAAACAAATACAAGTGGTGTAAAAAACACATTCTAGTTTTGAAATAAAAGCACCACTGGTGACTGGAAGGAAAAAGAAGCAGTGATTTGCACAGGGACTATGCATTACATATATACTGACATATAGATTAATGATACACCCACCAACCTGTCCCATCTCAAATGGTGCTAGCGCCTGTCTCTGCTTCAGGAACTGCATTGAGATTTACAGGAACTTAAATTAAAGCTTAGGAAACATATAGAGCTGGAATGTCTGTTCCAACCACACCCCACCACAGAAAGCATCCCTTCCTTCTCCTGAATTGTTACCTTTCCTCTTCCTGTCTCTGAATTCTTTCTTGGTCTTCACGCTCTCTTTGCTCCCGTGCTAGACGTCGTTTCTCTGCCAAGATTTTAGCAGCTTCTTCAGCTGTGGTGGTCCCTGCTACTGTTTTGCTACCTGATTCTGCAAAGGTTAACAGAAACTGCTGTTAAAAAGCCCTAGTAACTTAATTTTAAGACAGACATTATCACTGTGAGATGAGATTTTTCTTTTGGCCAACCCACCCCAACTCTTTTCCATCAGTGCTCATCACTCAGCGAGTATACCCTGTATCTAAAGGCCCACAAGAGCCAAAGGGGAGTCTTAAAGAGATGCAGAACCACAGTATCTCACTGACACTGAAATAACAACAACTCATTTCAACTACACTGATCCAGCCACATTCCAGGCAATACAGTTAAAGATATTCTCCAATTACCATAGTACTTAAAAACATGTTTCTGAAAAGACATGTTTATTCTGTAACACTTACAAACACTTAAAAGAAAACTGAAAAAAATACTGCTTTAGGAAATCCACTTAACTTCCTTCTAATAAAACTGAATGCACACGACCCTAAAGAGGAAATTTTTTTTTTTTATTTCCTTGTTTCATAACATTAACATTCATGCCTTTATATTTATAGAGTATCTTAGGGTGCAAATAATCACCATTTTATCTGGCCCTGAAGGCACATGCTAATGACTTCAGTAATACCGTATTTCTACACATTTTAGCAACAAATCAATTTCCAATTTACATGGAGATCAAAACAGCTCCAACCACCAGGTTAGTAGGTATTTGTACAGTCCTGCAGTTCATGTTTCTTCATGCCCTGCCTGGTGTTATGCTGTTTGAACATCAGAGATACTATTATAAATTAACATTAGGAAAAAAACCACCCTTGCCATCCAGTTGCTCTCAATATACATAGAGAGAACTCTGATTTTTATCTGTTATTCCCACTCTCTAGAAATATTACTGTTTGAATATGACTAAAGAACTCATCATCTGAATATTCAGAGAATTGGCTCTTGGTGTCAGTAGAGCAAAAGCATCATAATGCTGCTGAGGACCTGCCTTTCTTCTTTTTAGTATTTCACAAATCAGCACATATATGTTTGCTTAACATTTATAAAGCCTTCAAGTCAAGGTAATTTTAATGAACAATGACATCAGGGTTTGATCAGTTACTTTGCTTCTGACCTAAAGACAAATCATTCAAAACACAATGCCATCATTAGGAACTTTAACACCTGAAAAGCTGCTTAAGCCCCATGGACACGTAATCACTACCTGCAGCTGTAGGGCATAATTACACAGAGTAAACCCTCAGCAGCTGAATCATGGCAGTGCGTTGTGCATAAAAATTGTTCTTGCAGTCCTAGGAAAAACATTCCAGCACTGGTGGAGTGCAGTCACAGAGAAGTTTTCTAATATTTAGATTTATCCAATGCTGAAAAAGAAGCACCTCCCCAGAACACACATTACTTCTGATTTGGGCAAAAATGCAGTCATGTTGGTACAAACAAGAATCAGCCACAACAGTTCCAAATTTGAACTCGGTCAAAAGGGGTCCTCCTCCTTCTCCCTGAGCAGGAAAGACCACTCCTTTGCAGTTATAAGAATGATTAGCAGGATCTGCCTACTCAAGACTCGCATGTGCTTTTCTTCCTATATTCTGCAACTTTCTTTTTTATTTAAAGGAGGGAGGTTTCATTTAGTGTTGTCAGTATACAGCCGTGAAGAAATCAAAATGCCTTCCTTCTCCTCTACCACTTGAGTGTCTTGCCAGTTTAGACTAGTCACTTTTTATAGCAGAGGCCATCTTCTATTGTGCACTTGCAGAGCAACCAATGCAGCAGTCCTATTTTAACACTACTGGAATCTCAGTTGTATCAAAACTCGTTGACATTTAATGTCAGGTTTAACCTACTTCCCCCCCTCTAAACTGAACCTAAATAAGACAACTCAATCTTCAGCAAGAAGCCTAAAGGTTTTAGGCTTTTAGGTTATAGGGTTATAACGTAATGATAGCTTGAAATATGATGAATATCCGGTATTGAAAATGACAGAAGAAAATTAGTCACAATGTTTCAGAACACTGCAGATATGTAAAGAACAGGGGGCATAAAAACAAAAGAAAGGGTAGGAGACCTCAAGTCTAAGGGGGACCTTCCCACTGCGTTTTCACTTTCGAAGCTTTATTGATGTTTTCCATATCGTTACTTGCAATCATGCTTTCATCTCCATGCACCCCTTGTACAGTCTGTTTCCACAGGGCAGGACATGGGATTTCCCAACATGATTGCTAACATGCTTTAAGAAGATTCTTCCAGCATTTTATATTCAGCTCCATTTTCCTTGTACTCCCACTGTCATTCCTGGTAAGAACTGCCTTTTTCTCAAAGGACCTTTTTGTGATGGAAGGGGAAAGAGGGAAACAGGCAAGAGAAATGTCTCAGAACAATTGTAAAATGTACTATTAGTTGGATAGAGGGAAGATTCCAACTCATTTCAAGGCAAGTCATTTATTCACAGTTAATCTAGGAATCATATTCCAAAGCCTTCACTACCCAGATACAAAAAAGTGAGGCTCCATGACAGTTTATTACCTATCATCATGCATAAGGTGAGAGCTCATGAAGGAGCACTTATGCTTTAAGTCGAAACAAGCCTTTTAACTCTCAGAGAAGCTGTGAAAGGCTGCTGCCAGAAACGACAACTGCTCCAAGTCACTGAAAAATAAAGTGTTTTACTGCATAACAGTATATTTTAGTAGGAAGACACAAAAAACAAGACAAAAACTTGATTGCTGTCTGTCAGCAACGGGCAATCAACTTCAGTTTGGAGGAGAAGAGATGGTATGAAGATACAAGTGCACAAAGCTGAAATTAGGTTGAACCTACAAGACCTAGAGACTGATTTGCCACATGCCAATCATTGGTGCGCTCTGACTTCAGAAGCTGTCTGGAATATGGTATTGCACCAACCCACAGGGTGAACTGCCTACACAGATGTGTAAAATGAAAATTGCCTTAAAAATTGAAAGCAACTTTTTCTTTTTAAGAACAAAGATTTTGCCTCACTTAGCAATATTGCACTGTACCAAAACATTTAAAGAGATAAATGAAATCATCTCTACGTTGAAGAACATGCCCACTGTTTCCTTATCTTTTATGTGTCAAAGGAAGAGAGCTTTACCCAGCCCCAGTATGAATCACTACAAAGATGACTAGCTTGAAGATTACCAATAAAATAAAACGGAAACAGACAAACTGGGTTAATACAGTTCTAGAAGTCAGTGTAGAGGAGACAGGTGGGGCATCCAAGGAACAAGGACAGGTGTTCTTGTTCCAGAACAACTGGAAGATGCAGAAATAGGACACACTGTTACGGAGGTTTCAACCAACCGATGACCTTGATCACAATTGATTATGCCTCCTGAGGCATTTATCACAGTAATGTAGCACATTGAGGGATGGACATTCTGACTGCAAAGATAAATGACGTGACACAGAAGACGGATGTGCAACTTCATACAAACATCCACATTTGACTATGACATCCAGGCTTCCTTCTAGAGGAACATATGCCCAAAGAACTGTACCATAAATGAGTTCTTCAGCTGACTAACACTATTTCACATCCAACACTGAGCAGTGTCAGGAAGAGCCTCAGAAATAACAGACAACTGCAGCAGCTGAGGAATGCACAACAGGAACCATATATGCAGTAACATGCAGCAAGCACATGTTCCCTCTTACCTTATGTCTGAAGGATTTTCACCCCCGGTACTGCCCACTGGCTGTAGCTTAAATTCCAGAGATCCCTCTTTTTCCTCTGAAGTCTCCCCTAAGTCCTTCTCCACAGAGAAGTGCCTGCCAGACCTCATCAGAAGGCTCCCCCAGATTCTGTTCTGGAGATGGCAGATGGTGTTCTTCCGGTAAGAGGGACAGAGGCTTTGCGTACTTGGCATGATGAAGAGGACTAGGAGACTAATTGCTTATCCAGTATATGGCTCTCTTTAATCTACCACAATAATTTCTCAGTGTGACCTGTGAACTGGCCACTTTTTCCTGAAGCAGCAATGATTATACATTCACTGGAATTGAGACCAAGGCAGCCTTCTAGCTTTGTGAAAACTGGCTCTCAGCCTGTGATGCACCAATAGCTGATTTCTTCCTCCAAGCATGTCTCTACACAAGCAATTTCAAGAACCAACTGGACTGAAAGACCTTTGCATAGTTTAACTATTGACTTCGCAAACCTAAGCTAGTAGATCCCTCAGCTAGTGTGGCTGAAGTCCAAAAGGCAAACAGATTTTCTGCTTTTCTTAAAATTATAGTACAAGCAGTAGTATTGAAAGCTCCTGACTTAAATCTCCAAGTCATATAAACCGACTACTGCACTAAAATCCACACCCAAAAGTCATACCACAAAGTTATTGTATAAATAATCAGCAATGAACAGCTTCTGCCTTAAAGCATCCTACCCTCCAGTGGTCTGCCTCATGAATGAATTAGTTCACCAGTCCTAGCACACACTGGCAATGTCTTGAATAAGAGTGCATCAGCCACTGAGAAACACTCACCTTCTTTGGTCTTTGTGCTAGCTGCTACCGCATCCCTGTCCAAGGCTGGTGAAGCACCTTGCTCTTGTCCTGTTCCTTCTGTGCTCTTATCCTTTGGTTTGCTCTCTGCTTCAGTTTTCTTTTTGGTAATGTTTATAACACCTGGCGTGAGAGGTGGACGTTGGATGGGTGCCGGTTTAGAGACTGGAGTAGGAGATGGCGGCCTTTGTTTTGACACGCTAGGCGAAGGTGGGCGAGTCTTTTGTCTGTTGAAATGAAGAATATTTTTCAGGGCTAACGCTGAAATCCTCAAACGTGCAACTAAGGACAGCAGTCTACTTTGGTTAGTTTACATTACGCACCTCACTTTTAAAAATAAATCCCCCCACAAACTGCCGGTGCCTTCCTCATAAAACTCAAATACAGGATTCCAAAATACCCTGGGCACCTGGACTCAGTACTTGTGGACTAACATCAAAAGAGGTCTGCTAGCCCAGACCTCCATTTACTCCATATCAAGGATGAACCCTGTGATTCCAATCCAAGAAACTTCCTACACTAATACAGGCAGATCAGCTTATTCAGAAGCTCGCATGCTTCCTGTTGGTTTTAGTGCACAGACTGTACAGAAAACCTGTGTGTACTTTGTCTGCACAAAAGAGACAAAGGTTCAGGTAAGATCTGCACCCCTACTGTGGAAAAGAGAAATTGGACCAAAAATTAAGTCCTTATGTGTATAAACATGGCATAACGTAGGTCATCCAAATTCTAACAGAACAGCTGTCTTGAGATAGGAAGCATCCTTCATTTTGTTCTGAATTAAAAAAAAGATATTTAACCTGGACACATACCTAACTGTAGAAGGTGATGGAGGACGCTTCACCAAATTAGCAGGAGAGGGGGATCTTCTACGAGCAGACACAGATGGCGAGGGAGGGCGTCTTAAACCAGAACCTGGGGATGGTTTTTCTGTCTCCGATTTCTAAGAAGATACATAAAAACAAAATAATGCTCACTCTCTAGAATACATCACAGACAGAGGAGCTGCTATCCCAACAAACGTACAGCTTCTCAACAAGATGTACTTTACATTTCCTTTGTGTTCCAAAACACAGACCCAGTCAATATGTTACCTAAATTAAACTTTGGGAACCATAAGCACCAAACAATATGCCTTTAAGATACCAGAGAGATCAAGGACCATAAAATCCCAATTTGATTCCAATACTGAGTTTTTTAAGCAAATGCTATTGAACATTTTAATAAACAAGCAAACTGTTGAAACAGGATCCCATCCTGAGCTGTTCCAAACCCCCTGATTAATACAAACCTAATTCCCGTAGATTTTCAACAAACCTGGGTTGAATCTGGTGAACTTGCATCAGATGAAGATACAGAGGACTTCAATCTGTCGATGCTACGACTGCGCACGGGCACTTTAGGAGTTGGGACTGGGGAATTGATGGAACTGGCTGAAGCTGAACGAGGACAGAGGTGAGATTCTATAAAGTTAGGAATTTGACAAGACAAAACGAGAACCAAGTGCACAGCATAAGAACAGGAGAAAAGGAAGAGGGAGAAAGAGAGAAAGAAAGATTGTGTGTGTTAGAAACCGTACAGAGAAACGCCACAGGCAGTGCACACTGCAATGGGTCACGCACACAGACACCACCACCACACGATTAGTACTTTGGAAGCAACAGCACCAAGAATAAAACCATTCTGAAAGCAGCAGTCTGGAGTAGATAAAAATAAAATGCTTTTCCAAACGATGTCTAAATTTGCAATACACCAGTGTTACTTTAATTTTAGTCAAGCTGCATCTAATCACGAATACTTCAGTTTTAATGGCTTAGCACCTTTCTTTACAAGTTCTTCATGACAGGTTCAAATTTTAAGCATGTTTTCCCCATACTCAAGGAGGAAATCTTCCTTCTTTTCAAAGAGTATTTATAAAGCAGCATTACATTAGGAATCTGAGCATTACTGTACAAACTTTTCTTGTGAAATAAGCATTTGTGCAACATTGTTATTCTACTTTCCCTCTCTGACCCCTTTATTACTATATATGTGTGCCCTTTATCCACATTAACAAATCAAAATAGGTGGTGTAAAAGAAACCTATCAAGAGAAAAAGGTCAATTATTAAACTAAAATACCTTTCCTACCTGAAGTGTCAATCTCTTCACACGTAAGATACTGAAAGAAGTTGTATCTTCTAATTACTTTTTTCACTAACATAATCACAGATGGATAAGCATACATGGATGTAAAAGCCTACTTCTGAAACTAGATGTCGAACTTTTCTATAGTCTGAATAAATTGTGACAGATGCCAGCACTTAATTTTGTAACTTTATGGAAAATACATTTTATTTTTATATTTACAGCATTTGTGCAAGAAGAACTGCATTCTGTTTGTGCATAGTTTGTGCTAAAGCACAGGTATGTTTGTACTGAAATGAAGAAAGTACTGCTAAGTAAACTGATAAAAATGTAAAAGTTATTTTTAATTCAGCAATAGTGAATAAGTCACATGCTGTCAGTTAACAGTGAAAAAGATGGTATTTCCCCACATGACATGAACTGAAATATGCATGGTAAAATAAAAGTGGAACATAAATAGGTGCGCAAAAATACGACCATTGACTACAAACCAAAAAAGTAGAAACTGGTTATTGCACAAGGGGAGCAGTGTAGAAATGTCACCATTGCCAACAAGGACCAAGTTAAGTGGCATAAGATAAAAAACAAAGATGGAATAACACACTTAAGAGGAAACAAGCAAAACTGGGAACGCAAGTTGTAAGGTAAGAGAGGAGAAAGGACTCCACATTGGTTCCAGATATGCATTTACTGGGGCATTATTACAACCAATAACAATTGTAAGACATGTGGGATGCAGCTAGGGCTTGCCCACGATGCAGAGATTCCTGCTCAAGTACTAAGTTGAGCCACAGTGCAGGCTTATCAGCTCAGTCTGGACCAATATAAAATTGCTTGAGCCAGGCAGGGTTTCTCTACAGTATCTCCTCCTTCTAGTACGCCTCTACTTCTACAATCAGCCTGACTGAAGCTAGCTCAGGGCTCCCTGTACTTAGGTTAAGACAACCCCTTTGTCATGTTCCTACAAGAGTTTCTCCCCCTAAAGAAATTTAGGCTTTGTACTTATTCCTTTCAGCTTCCTTTGAAATTATATGTTTGTTTGGGTTTTTTCCCTTTCATTTCCTAGCACTGTTCTCTGACAGTATGTCTCAGCTTCATTTGAGGGTACACCCAAATGCAGATCTCTGTCAGTTAAAAAAAAAAACACAAACAAAACCCAAAACGAACACCAACATCTGGTTCTCTGCAGAGCAAGTGAACTGGCACTGGAGTTTAAAAGCCAGTATTATTCTATGGTTTTGTAAAGTAAACATGCAACGTAGCATATGAATTGGTTATTACTGACCAAAGAAAATACTGGATAAGTAATATTATACATAACCATATATTAACTGTCTGATTCATACTGACGTGTAGCACAGTTAGTGACTATCATGTAAGTTCTTGCTTGAAGAGCAACTGCGTAAAACTTGCAGGCTTTGCTGTCCTCCTGTTACCTGAGGGATCTTGTCCATCAGCCGATAATGTAGCAGCACTTTTACTCCTAGCTAATGAGGCCTGTGTGGGGGCGAGGAGGCGACTGATTACGCTACTGTCCAGAGGACTGAGCTGGGAGCGACGAGCTAGATGATGGGAACAAATCAAAAAGGATCCAACATGAAATCATATTATGAAAAAGACAAGCAGTACAAAGCAAAGGAAGACTGTAAGCATTGTTGCAAATCATAACAGTTTTGGAAGAAAAATACCGAAGTCATGGAGAGGGAAATCCAAACTAAAAGCACAGAAGGGTTAAACACTGCAATCTCTTATGTTGTACTTCTTGTCCTCCGCTTGCTTAATACTAATTATTTTGATGTGCAAAGACTGGCATGCGTACAACAGAGATGAATGCTGAAGTCGGTCAAAGTATGAAAAGTTTTTGACCCAGCTCTTCAGAGCTGTATTCTCTAGATCGCAGGAAAAGCTGTTCTGAATAAACAGAAGACTTGCAAGTCAAAGTGAACGGTTATCGTCAGGCATCATTTGCACACACAAATTCACATGGACAGCACCCACCATCCTCCCATACAGGAAAGATTCTGAAGCAGAATATGATTTCCACTGTTGGCAATAGCTGCTTAAAAAGGAAAGTTTCAGAATTGTTAACTCAAAGGGAAAAACATGTTAGAAAAGTTGCTAGTCTTCAGCTTTAGGAAGAGTTCCTAGAAAAGAGGTTATTTGTAACCTAGTGGGGAAAATACACAGACCAAAAGAGACTGAAGTGAGAACAGGTTTCTTCCTTCATTTGCATGCACAAAGTTTAGGCCAGCAGCAGGAACAGAGAAGTTGCTTTTAAACTGAATAATGAAAGAGAGCTTAAAAAGCAAAGGTAAGGTTTAACTAAGAAGTGAACGTATCAGTGACATTTTTACTGTGTCTTACATTTAAACCTACCAGCTTTCAAATATGTCTCTGTTAAGCAGAGAGACATTTTGTTATCTGCTTACAGTGCCATTTAACAAAATCAAAGTCCTTCTTACAGGATTTCCTTTTTGTCCAAAGGGAGAAATTTAACCTTTACCATTTACAATTTTATCTTTACCACTGGATAACTAGAAAAGCCATTAAAAAGTCCTAAAAATTTAAGAACCAAAGAAACTAGTGAAAGTAAGCCTATCCAAACTTTACTATAAATGGCTTTAAAAAGAAATATTCAGCTTTATGAAACAACCACCTGTTTTTTCTTCCTTTTTCACTTTTTCTAGTTCTGGAGAGGATTGGGGTTTACTACTCATTCTATTCAAAGATGTGCTCCTCTTCTTTTCTGTTCCTCCTAGAGACCAAGCGTAAGGAAGATTATTTTTAACAAGGTATTTATATATATAATTTTCTAAATTGCCATTCCCATGCTTTGCTTTTGCCAATCAGCTAAAACCACCAATCTATCATTACGAAGCACTATTTTATCATGAGCTAAATGGTTTGGCTACCATTTGTCTACTCTCCCCCCCACCCTTCCACTTATTCCAAGAGGAATAAGGCTGGTTTATAGACACGGTTACCCAATATCTGGCACTGCAACGTGCATAATGGTATTTATGCCACAGTGCATAGACTACATGCACAGCAGTGAAAGCCTGAGTAAAAACATTTATAATGAAACTGGGACATGGTTTAAAGTCAACTTTAAATATCCCATTTGCTGCCTCCCAATTCTCAAAACAAACTGGTTTCTAGCACCTTTCTGTTCCACCTGTGAACCTTTGAGTGCTGACTGCTGAGAATGTAGAGGAACTTTGTTATTCAGTCTGTTTAATGAGGCACTTCTCTTTGTGGTACCTGGAAGTGAAAGCGCATGGATTAATTTTGTTGAAAAGCCTAAAAGTCCCCTCCAACACCTGCCCCACTTCCCTAAGATACAGAAGAGTAATTAAGTCACTTTATAGTATAAATCCTTCAGAACCAGGAAAACTGGATCAGGGAAGAATTACTCTATATAAAGTATGATTTCTTATATTCCTGTATGTTACTGATCATAGCAGCAGGATGCCAGTCTCAACATACCTCTTTGTTTGACCTACCAAGGCCACCCTTGTACGCCTTTTTAAATAAATAATTGGAAAAGGCCATTGCTCACATTCTGTATGAGTTAAGAGCAAGAAACAAAGTGCTTGGCTCAAAATTAACAAAGAACACAGCTGATTAAATACTCCACTGATCCAGGGACAAGCATCTTCCTCTCAATTCCGCACTCTGCTCCCCCACCTTCCCAGGCACACACACACAGCAGAAGCAAACTGGTTAATTCTGCGACTGTATTTTCTGTCCTTTGAATTTAGCCATCGTTTACCAAACAGCCATTTCTTCTTAAGTGCCAGATCAAGAGCATAGAATGGCTCTAACTTGCTGTGGTGATCTAAACCAGTCAGTTAGTTGACCTCTATATCGTTGGAGTCCAGTTCAAATTTCTTGTATTTCAGGCCACCTGAGAATTTTTCCTCCAAAGAGAACAATGATTCACAAAGGATTTCAAGGTATGACAATAAGTTTGAAAGCAATCCCAATTAGTTGAAATTAGTGACTTCCTTTGTTAGTGGCTTAATTTGTACTTTACAGCCCTGTTTCTGACTCATACCCAGAGCTGAACCCTGCAGACACATTATATATAAATATCACTTCAAATCACAAGCAGCCTCCAGTGACTCAGAGCCCCTGCAGCTATGCCAGTATAGATATATTCACTGATTCCCCTACCAGGCATACAATGTATGAGTACAAGTTTTTCTGCTGCATCACCTTCCAACATGAACCAGCAAAATCACTGTTAGCTGTGTCCATGTTAGGGATTCTTCTACCACAGCTCATTTGATCAAAGGTTGTAGATTGACAGAACACTGCAGCATAGACCTAGTTTAACTTGTTTTCATATTAAACGGCTCTTAGCTTATTAATGCTTTTTGTCATTTTGGGAAAAATATACAACATTTGGCATACAGGCAGGCTCCTATGAGACACTGGGAAGATTCCCCACAAGGAAATCGCAGGCTAAAACAAGCTGGTATGTGCTCGTGCAAATAATTTTTATTTTTATTAACAAGTAGATTAGGACAATTCCTTGTGTTTTGTCTTTTTTTTTTTTTCTATTTGGAGACCGCAGATTGCCATGGTTTACAGAATGACCTTGAACTAACATTCTATAAGGTCTGTTTCACATTTCCTCTCTCTGAGTAGCTTACATGTATCTGGACAGGACGGCGGGGAGGAGGCAGAGAGAGGACTCGCACATAGAGGTTTACCAGAGAGTGGGAAAACCAGAGATCTATCCCATTCTCTGCGTCCCTGTTAAGACTAGTTGGGTGGTGCACATTTTACACATGACATGCTGCAGTCAGGAGCTTCATCCACCCCAAAGCTGCAATTCAAAATGAGACTGGAAGCCACAGAAATTGATAGATGATCTCTAGAGTGCAAACACTCTCAGAAAGCCTTAAAAAAATAAAATTAAATAAATAGTTGGCTTCCAGGCCATTTCTATTCCTTGATAGTCATTGGCACAGTAAGTAACCCAGAATGACTGCGAGCAGTGGTGTGCACTAACAGTTTAAGAAATGCACAATTTGAGTATCAGTATCAAGATTACACTAATTTATTGGGCTAGGAAATGCTGTCAGAGCCGCACGCTATGGCTGTAATCATGCTAGAACTCCAGGTCAAAACAAAACAATCTCCTCCCACAGGTGTCAGTTTTTCATGCATCCTTCTCTATTTCATTAAAGCAGAATTCTAATATTAAAAAGAAAGTGTGTGTTTATGGAGTACAGGACTGGCACAACAGAAAGATGTCAAAACTAAGTTGATTTTTTCCTCCCCACAGGCAATCAAATGACTGAAGCTGTCTAACAGAACAAGGCAAACTTTATTTTTGTACTATTTCTATTTTGCTGAAATTTTAGGGTGTGATTTAAGGCATGCAAACCCCTAAAGATGATGTGAAATGATCTGTGAATCAATCATTCATCAAGATTTGACTTCAGTAAAACAATTACAGAAATAAAAAATAAAAAACAGCAATCTTTACCGTTACTCTTCTCCTCTAACAGAGATCACATCAACTGGGTCAAAGCCCTGAACAGTCAAGCTGGATTAACAAATTGCATGAAATGCATTTGAGATCAAAATATGAAGAGAGTTACAGAGCAAGGGAGGAAAAGGAGTATCATTCCACCTCCTGTCTCCTCCCCAAATAACAGTTAAGCAGTACACCTGCTATCAGCAGACACTTACTTCGATCAGAAGCGTTTAAAAGTGCTGCAGACGATGATAACCGTTTATTCATGGCAGCTTCTGTCTGTTTGAGGTTTGCTGTGGAGGTGGACCGCTTGCTGGCTGTGTAAAGAAGCGCTTACTTTAGAATTCATCTTCATACCTGAGGAAGAACCTTTCACACATTGCTGTGAGCTAACTTTGGAAGTATTACATCCTGAAAGCTATTTCCAGTTTTGCTTAATGAGAATCAGAGATATTATATTTTCCCCTTTGAACAGACTCAATACAATTAGCACCAGTTGTAACGTGCACAGAAAAGGCATTTAGCTTAGTGGAGTGATGCCGAGATTTTAGGTGTATGTATGCAAACAGGTGATTTGAAACCCTGTGCCCCTAACATGTAAAGACAAAAGCTACTGAGGTTGTGTGTTGTTAACAGACTGGCGAGACAGAGAAAGTAACAACAAAACCTGAGTAACAATAATTTCTTCACATAGGTATGTCAAACAGTTTTTCAATCACTAGTTAACGAAACCAAAACAAAACAAATGCTTTTGGAGGGATAAAAGCAAGTCCTGAGGAAAGGCGAGAAAGCACTCCTATTTCCGATAACTTCCCAAGGGTTGCTCTATTTTAGAAATTTCCAATTTTTTTCAAAAAGCTAGTCCTTAAGTTCATGTTTCCTATCAATTTTGCAACTCTTCTGACAAAAAATTGCCACAAGAGGCATTAATTATTTTTTTGTATGTGTATACACACACATAAAAATCACATCTCACATGGAAAAATTTCAAGTTTACTACAAAGCCACATAAATACCCACTTCTTAATTTCAAATAATGTACTTTCAGGATGAACACTACTCCAGAGTGTGAAAGCCTTGGAAAAGCAGGTACCTGTTGCTGTGGAAACTCAATAAGCAGAAAACAGTAACGCACACAAAGTAATGCGGACTAGCATAATAAACACAAGAAATTCTATACATCAAACACAAGTAATCGATTTTGCTGGCATATCGGACAGCAAAGATGATTAACGTGAACTCATTAGTGCATAAGCATCAAAGGAAAAAGCAGCTCACCACAGAGGCAGCATCTTTTTCCCTTTGGCCCGCACGCTACAGCAGCTCCTTATAGCAAGAGCCAGGACATAAGGATTCCTATGGACAGCCCTGCCTCTGCATCGTACTTTTGACACACGTACCCATCCCAGGCTTCTTGAGCCAGGGGCCTCCTGCAAAACCTCCTCAAGTGAAAACCAGATTTTGGAGTGGAAGCTACAAAGCGGCAAGCTCTTGTCACAGTGAACAAGAACAAAGTCCTCACAGGGTAAGAGGGAGAAAGGGGGATCAATTGAATACAGTTAAGAAATGAAGATCTGAGCTTAGCAGATACTTTCCCAACATAACAGAAAAAATGGCATTTTGTGAATGAAGCCAGAGTACTGGGATAACTAAAACAGCCTTGAGAGGTTTTATATACGAAAATCAGGAAACTCATAATTCATGTATTTGGGTGTTTTCAAAGGAAAAGACTACCCTCTAGCGTCTGCTCTTAAAAAGAAAGCCTGGCTCCTGCCAGAGCTCAAGCGTGCGAGTCAAAGGCCTCTACACATCGTGGAGATGCTTCATACAAATTTCTCTTCGTTCAAATTAGCACTTGCATGAAATCTGAGATTTGGTCCACCACCTACTAAGACCCAGAGGGCAGAAAATTAAATCTTGCCTTGAGGAAAACTACACTGAGCAAAGTAATTCTTTTCCAGCAAATTTACAAGTTCTGGAGATGGGCTGTGCCGTTTAGTAAAGACACAAGGGATGAAACTTCTACTAGAAGATTCAAAAGAAAAAATGACAGTCTATATATGACCGTTCAAACAAAAAACAAGTATGAGGTTCTATTTTACAGGGAAACAGAGAGCAGTGGTGATGGCATGAGTTAATATCCCAACTGATGCCTTGACTGAAAAAATCTAATTGGTAAAGAGTATTCATACAGATATTTGAGTTTTCTTTTTCCAGAAAATTTTAAGATCTTAAGAAGTCAATGTTTTTTTGATCAATACATTTGCAAATACATGATCAGATGGCCTCAACTTTTCCCTTCCTCAACCACAAGATAGCTTCTGAAAGCTTTGGATAATTCACTAGGAAAAAAGATTTAGAAGACAGACAGGATATTCTCGAGTAAGGTAGTCTGGTTACATAGGTAAATTACTCTTCCGTATTTTGGGGGGAAAAGTTAAATTACTTACATCAAGGAATTTTAAATGGAAGAAGCATATAGCATAGTCCCACGCAATACCAAACGTCTGTATTGTGTTTAATGGAAGGGGGAAAACAAACTGTAGCAGCAAAGCCAAATAAAGCGTACGACTGCCATGCAGCAAGGCTTGCAATTAGGTAAGGAGCTGGGAAACACAGCATCTTAAGAAAATCGTTACTAGAGAGAGCAGCTCTCAACACAGCTTCTGAGTTTCACTGAGAGAGGGTGCTGGAGCACTGCCTATCTGAGGCTGGATAAAATTAGGCTAAATAAAATAAGATTATCTGTCTCTTAGTTCCTTCCAAATTTCTACTAGGACAAGGAAGCTCTTTATTTAGAAAGGATAGACTCTGGCAGCCCAATTTCTATTCTAATAGCACATGTCTCCAGCACAGATGCACCTGAACGCCTAGTTTTGCTCAGCAGTCATCACTAAACCTCCCTCATTTACAAGGACTCTGTCATTAAGGATGCTTTATTACACAGCCTTGCCATTTCTCTTGGAAGACCCACACCCCACGTTTCATCTTAGCACCGACAGCTATGTCATTAATGTAACATTTGACTCTCGGGCTTTCATCAATTTTTAAATTTCAGGCCATCAGTGGGGTACTTGGTGCAGTCTCAATGAATCACATTCTGTACATAATGCAGAATGGCTGATGGTTGGTGAAATGTTCAATTACACAGGGTTTACTTTCCAGACCACACTACCTCTATCGCCCACAAATGCTGTTTTACCAGTCAACGTTCCTAAATATTACTGTTGACACGGCAGTTCATGGAAGAACGTGTCCGACTTTATATTTTTTTGCACAGCAATACAACACACAAGAAAGCCTTTAGTCCTAAAATAATGTAAAGAATATTTGAAATCTGTTTCCCCCCATGGTTTTCATTTTAAGAAACGGAGCCTTTAGTCCCAAATCTGCCACAGAAACTGATGGTGGAAAAATAATATTGTACTGAAACTTGCTCTAGATGTGCTGTTAGAGAAGGTGCACTAATCGGCCACGATGACATAATGTAGGAGAGCTCATATGGTGTCATTTTTCAGAAATCCAAAAGTAATTGTCTTTCCAGCAATTATGCAAATATAAGGCGAAAGGGACCAAATAAGGATTTTTTTAGAGAGCCGGCTAGACTTAGGCATCCTACATGGTTTGTGTAGATTTTAAACAACAATTAAGCGAGGAACTTCCAGAAAGTTAAAAAGCTAAGGACGATCCTGAAATGGAAATAAATACGAGAAGCATTAATCCAATCACAATTCCATATTATCCAGCCCAGGTAAGACAGGAAGGTTGAAACCTCAATGTAAAGATGAACACAAATTTAAAACAGCATGGAAGCACAAGTGTCTTGGTCAAACACTGCATTATCTGTTTATCTCCACAGTCTTTTTTTTCAAAATTGGTGCCAAGTTATTCAAATTGATCGACAGTAGCTGAACTTATCTGTTCCTCCTGTTGTTACTTTATGATGCATAAAGTACAGCTTAAGTGCCTATTTTTACATCAGGAGCACGTTTGTTGAAAGACACTTTATTTTTAATGTGCTTCAGCAGCAGTGTGGTTCAAGTCTTCCTCCATGATCAAAAGGACAGACAAGACTCATTTCCTTGCATAAATGAGGAGAGAGCAAAGGACATTATTTTACGTTTGTTATAAAGTTTAGCTTTAAAATTAGGTAAGGTAGAATGGAACAGAGGAGGAAAAAAAAATAGTGCTATCCTAAACATTTAAGGCAAGTGTGATTTCCTAGTTTCAAGGTTAAATGACATTAGGTAATGTGGAATACAGTAATTGGATTTATATATGTATCCAAGAAACACATGTTAAACAGGTAAACCAATCCAGTCAAACTGGCTAATTTTGGAGAAAATTAGGGATTCATGCTGTGCAGAGAAAGGGAAGAGAGAAGTCAAATAAAACACACATGCTTCTGCTGTGTTGCCAGAATAAGCCACAGTAGTTAAATCGTAATCAGTCAGACTTTCATTGCATTTTCAAGTCTCATATTGTCAGCATTACGAGACAGCTGTATTGAATTAGTAATGCTGTGAGCATGCACAGATTTTCAGAATTCAGATTTAGCTGGGCCTCAGCTGAGAGCTATCATCTTAAACTAGCTACAAGAAATAATTTTGCTTATTAAACATATAGCCTTGACAAATATATCAGTGATCCAAAGCATTTCTATGAATGGCTCAGTCTGTGCACTGCAAAGTGCCAGAAATCCAATGAAAACACATTTAATACATAGAAGTATGTTTGGATAATTGGACAGATCTGATTTTGCAAAACCCCTCATGGAAAGAGTATCAAACTGCACGAAGGACCCATACCCTTTCACAAAGTTTCAGCAAAGTATCATTTGATTTTGCAAACGTTACTTCAATTGCTGGTAAAACAAAGCAAAAAGAAAACAAACCAAGCCCTACCATGTACTTTTTGCAAATTAGGAAACAATGAAAGGGTTTGAAATTGCCCTTAAAAAAAGAAAAAAACCTCAGACTACTGAACTAATTTATATTCAAATACATACCACTAAGAATTTCTCTTCTCCTCCCCCATGCCGTGTCCAGTCATCTTAAAAAACCCAAACGCACATATCCTTTCCCTAAAAATTGCCTCAGGATCCCATGACTTAAGCTTTAGTTTAATTAGCTGGGAGGGATAGTTAAAAACATAGAGAGTTGCTTTCTACTTAGGGATCACACTTGTTGCACAGCTGGCCAAGATCCAGGAAAAGATCTATAAGAAGATGGTTTTCCTTAGTTTCGGAGAAACAAGAACTCAAGTTTAAAAGGTTAGTAGTGAGTGAGAAACAACAGAAAAAGAACATTTTAGAAATCAATACCACCAGTTCCACCTTCATCTGTGGTCTGTTGTTCTGTAGAAGAAGAAGGTTTGTAAGCTAAGTCACAAGGTCAAATAGCAAACAATGCAAGCTCACCAAAAAATGGGGAAGCTGGATATCATAATGATAATTTATATCAAAGCACTTTCAAACATGTTATAAATAAACCCTTAAAAGTCAACACTCAAGGTGACAGAAGACAGTACAATTCCACCAACTCAGAAGATAGGCTGAATTGAAGCATTTTTTATTTTATTTTATTCCTGGACAATAACTTATGTTACTTATGGGCGGGGTCTTCTAGTTAGGTAGCGCATGAAAAGATCCCTTCTACTGCAATCCTGATTTGCTGGTCTGATTTCAGAATGTTTGCAAGCAGAAACAGTTAATTGTGTGAAACAGGAAACAATCTGAGGTCAAATTAAAGAGCATTAAAATGCATCGCCTAATCTAGAATAGAACCTATTCTCCAAGAAGCTTGGACACTGCCCACTGCATCTCCTCACCCATTACTGGTCGTTCAAATAATCAGTTAGCATTCTGTAACTCTACGGGTGTGTTTAAAACATTTTAGATGTAATATTACAGTACAACTGGGGTTTTTGTTCTGTTTATCATCAGTCTTAGCACACCATTACATTTGAAGGACTCAGAATTATTTTAGCATTATACATTACAATTCCCCTTATCTGATGGTTGGGGGCTGGCAATGCAATGCTGCCAGGTGTTGTATTTCCCGTGTGGCTTCTCTATAGCTCTTCCCAAAGTCAAAAATAGCTCTAAGTCTCAGCAGCATTTCAGGGCAAGTACGGATATGAATCTTTTCCCCAAGAGCTACCCATGGATCCTGCTGTAAGATCCAAGATAGGAAAGAGGGCCTAGGTCCCTATGAATACTGCTGCACCTGCCGGTGTTCATACATAATATTCTGTGATTTTAGCCATGCTAGAAAAGGTGCTACTTACCAGTTTTGCTCTCTGAATCTGGAGTTACAGACCCTCCCCATGACCATCTCTTCTGTCGTGTTTCCAGTCGCTGATTCCGTTCCAAGGTACGATGCATAACTGCTTCATATCGCTCCTATCATCAAACAACACCTCTATGAAGCTATATAACTATAAAGCACAGCTATGCCAGAAGACAAAACACAGACTTCCCCCCCCACCCCGAGTATGATTTAAAATCTGTTTTACCTATGCTGCTTGATAACAAGCTTTTGTTACAAAAACTATCATGCCAAGAATGTTAAGGGCAATTAATGGTTTCTAAAACACTGCAAACATGATTAGGTTGAACTAAAGCACAGATAATCTATTCTACTCTTTACTTAAAATAGCCACCAAACAGATTTCCTATTCAGTAAACAGCACCACTTATTTTCTGAATAGACATGAACCCCAAACTGAGCAAAAATAATTGCTTACCCTTTAAACTAGTCATATTCTGAAGTTATTTCTAAAAGGTGCTAAAAATTCTCCATTATAAAATACCAAGTATAAGGTTATTTGTATTTTCAGAGAACTACACGAACACTGACCCAAGTCTTAACAGATACTGGCATTAATAGAGATACAATGAAGCCAGAAATAGCAAGACATGAAGGCAAAACTACAAAAAAGACCAATCAACTCCAGACCGCAGCAACCACTGCTGACAGGACAAAGGACTGAAAGAAGCTTTCTCTTCTGCCTCCAGGACTAGTAACTGCTAATGTGGGAACTTTAGCTCTTGTGCATAAAGATGAACAGTAACCATGCTAGACTCTTTCTTTGCCATAATCAGCCAGATTTCCATACAAGTGTCAACAACAGATTTCTCTTCTGGAATAGTCATATCCCAAGTGATCTTTTGAAGCAGTATTTACCGCTGATACATTGCAGTAAGATGCCAAAGGGACTCATTATCCAAACATTTCTCCCTCTTGAGGACACAAGACTTTCACCTTCTTTCAACACCATTTCACAACACAAACTAAAAAAGTTGCAATGCATAACAGACAAAGTAAACTTGGAAGGAAGGGAGGAAAGATTCTGTTCACTAACAAAAGGTAAAATTAAAAGTTTTTGTTTGAAATATAAAGTTTAGCTTGCCCTCTGTTGAAGAAACCTGAACTAGAGTTTACCTAAGGTGCCGAAGTACCCAGACATTATGTAATCTGTAGATGATATTTCCCTGGAGGTATCTGCGGTGTGGTAATTCTGTAAAGTCATAGTTAAAGCCATAGGCTTCACTTTACAAACAACAGAAAATCAGTTATCAGCTCAAGACATCAACATAATAAGTTGCACAGCTGTACAGAATAATTGAGTAACTGTGAGAAGACAGGTATCTCAACCCTAGCCATGGCTAGCTGTCTTCAAGACTCTCTTAGGCAGAGAACCACTTATTCTTCCACAGTATTTGCTATCGTGCTGCTGCTTCTACTTTATCTAAGGAAGGTGATTAACTAAAGGAGACTTGGCTGAAGTACCAAACAAGAATGTTGGAGACTATGTATTTTTTGATGCACTTCTATCTACTAAATTTACAAGAGTAGATGATATCTTGCTGGCAAATATTGCCCTAAGATAGCTTAGCATCTTTAAAAGTGATTATTTTCTAATGTCAGAGTACAAAAGTCAAGATCTGTTTTCACTTTCTGGTTGAAAGCAAGGCTTACAGGTCAAGTGCACACTATTTTCCCACCTGCCGGATTCTTCATGTATAACTCTATGTACAAGGTCATCTTCCTCCAGGGACCAAGTAAAAGACAAGGTTAACACCAATCAAACACTCATCGGCAAGTCCTTGTCTTCCTTGATTATTCACCCCAGTGGCCACTTAAAACATATCCACCATCCTCAAAATTACATGAGTAAATGTCCTAGAGGCTTAGGGGCAACACCTCTTGCAGCATAAGGGATGCTTTTTGCTTCAAGTAGTTGCTTAAAGAGATGATACTGCACTGGACTGCAGCCAAGGCCCACCCAAACATTTCTGCTTTTCTTCAGCAATGCAAACTATTCCATGAAGTTCAAATGGAGTATCAATCTGAACACACCCAGAAGCTGATTACAGATAACCAAACACCACTGTAGAATACTGCCAGCCAAAAAGGGTAAAAACGATGTATTGCTAGAACAATGTAACAATGGCTGGACTCCAGAGGAACAGCCAGCCAGGCTTACATGCTCTTCATCAATGACCCACAGCAAGTTCTTACAACTAGCTTATGAAAGCACGTGTGTGTCGTGCTTTTACTGCTGACACCCTGGAAATGAACCCTTTCAGAACTTGCATCACATTTAATATGCACTAGCAGACCTACTCTTCAAAGGGGATGGCATAACTTCATATATATATTTCTACTTTCAGCTGCCATCAATCTTGCAACGAACTCTGCAACTCAGATAGTGCTCCACTGGTCCATGTGCAGTCAAAGCAAAGGCAAAGAGTCAAGTAAGAACAGTCAATACACAGTTCAAAGCAGCAAATGGTAACTACACAGGTAACATCATCATCGGCACAACATATAGTAACAAATTGTAATGTAGAAGAACTGAAAGAATGTGAGCCTCTTAGGCCACAGTGGGGCTCCCAGGAAGCAAGACACAGAATTAAGGGAAGTCTAAGACCTGTCACCCATGCTAATTTACAAACAGGATCTACAAAGTGCACTGAAAGGAATCTAGAAATCTAGGAATATGGGGTGGGGTTTTTGCTCATGTGAAAAAAAAAAACAGTGGCCAAGCAGCAACCACAGCTCCTAAAGTCCTGAGCGCCTTGGGGATAGTTACAGCTAGGCCTGGGATGGGGAAGGAGGACACGTGTCTATATAGCCCATTATACAGATGTGGAAAATATTTTTATGTTCTAATACATTCACCATTTCCGTAACTTTCTATTTCACACCACTTCAGAGCACGGTAATGTTGGAAGACAGTGTAGGAGTTTCTTTAAAACTATAGAACTTTGATGTGTAGTACCTTTTCCTCTTCTATTTTTTGTTTTCTCTTTTCTTCTACTGCTGCCCTCCGTTGTTCCTCTTTCTGCTTCTGTTCTTTTAGCTTTCTCTGCCTTTCTTCTAACTGTTTTTCATACTGGAGTTTTGCTTTTCTCTCCTTTTCAAGGATTTGTGTCTCTTTGGCAGCTGTAAATTTTTAAGGAAAAATTAAAATCAGAACTTAACTATTCATTGATATTACAACGCAACGTAGAGGCAAGAGACTACCAAGCAACATTATCACCACTTAAAGCTAAAACATACAGCAACATTAGCTTGCAGTGCTGGATGACACTGTACATGGCAACAAAGGTGTCTTTAATCCTGTCCCCATGTTGGGCAGGAACTAGAACCTTCCCTGCTATTAGACTTTACTGTCTAGACCGGAATGTCAGGATATGCATATAGCCTATATTAAGCATATACTTTTCTTGCCATCATAATAGTGAAGTCTTTAAAAGTAAGTAGTAGTAAGTTGAGTATCAAAGGGCAGAATTTTCTATGTTGCAATTTTCATTTTTTTAGAACAAGATATAATGAAAAGATTTAAAACACTGAGTGACAATATGGGAAAACTCCACAGTTATTGCATCCGAGTTCAAAATAGTTATGTCACTATTCTCCGCGGCCTCCACGTAGGAACAGCTGTGCGCAGTTTAACAGGAAGCTTCAAGTCCTGTGACAAAAAGCTAGTGGTTGAATACACGGTGGAAGTATTTTCTGTGGCTAGACAGATGAAATGAACAGAGAGACCAGATAATTATACCAACAATGCACAGGCAGTATCTACATAAGGCCCCCAAAATACTTTTGAATTTAAATGTGTCCTAGTCCTATTCTCTCTCCATGTTAGGATAACACAATCATTCCCATTCCTGTGTGGTTTTGCTTTTACGTTAAGAAACAAACATACAGGCCAGAGAGACACCACTCCTCACAAGCTGGGAGACCAAGAACAGGACTGCAGGGCATACTGTGACTCTTTCATCTCTTGCTGCACATACATGCACTGATTCATGTCACAAACAGCATAAAGCTGGACAAGAGTTTTATGCTTTTCTCTAGGTCTCAGATTCTTTGCTAAGATAAAGCGTATACTGCTGACACTTCAATCCAGGAGTCATTTCAGTGTGATAGGAAACAAGGGAAGCAGTGTTCAAGGCAATCAAGCCATTCAACTGGCTAAATCTTTTTTTGGTTTTCTCTGAATCAGTGTTCCCCAAACCTCAGTCTTCAGGGCTACGGGAAGCAGTTCTAAGCTAATAGTTACCATTTCAGAAGTGTTTTTGTTAAGGCTTTCAATAAGAAATTGGCTAAAGTTGCTTGGTGGTCACTAAGAAATGGAAGGTCAGAAGTGACATACAGCTTCAAGAAGCTAAAAATCTCTGGAATGTTTTCCTCTCAAATCTAATACTTCTCCATTCAAGTTCACAGATGGTCACTGATGCAAGACCAAGAGCAGACCTTGTCTCTTGTCCCCAGCAAGCTGAAAAAAGTGACTGAACAAGAAGTAAAAGTAAGCTATTCCTTTATCACAAATATTTTAGGAAATTGTGTTTTAAATGAAACATGAAAATACCATGTTGCTTTTCCCGCTCTTCTCTACGCTCCCTGGCCAGTCTTTGTCTTTCTTCTGTTCTCAAAGTGGAACCATCTATCACTGTCAAAAGAAAAATTGAAGACACATAATTGTTAGTTACTCTGAACAGTCAAATTTAAATAAAAAAGTTGAAAGTCTTTACTATCAAAAGGAAATGGAACTTCCTGAGATACACATACCACCAAAGCACTGCACACTCTGTATAGAGATTAAAGATGTCATCTGAGAAATTCCTAGGAAGCTGAATACCCTCCTTTTTCCCCTTTCCTTCCCTCACAACAACCAATCCACTATTTTTAATAGGTGCAGCAGAAAGCAGACACGAGATTAAAAGGCCCAATGCGCACAGTCAAAAGAAAGCCTGAGCAGAAGTCAGATGTGTGAGAACATACCCTTATTCCAAATTCAGCTCTTGATCCTCATTCTTGTACATATTAATTCCTATGATCAAGAATTACAAGAATCTAGGAAAACTCAATCTGAGAACAGATAGTTCACCCATCATGACAAATTCAAAGCGCTGTAGGATAGCTAGTTTGCAGGCTAAGTAGAACCAAGACTGCTTTAAGTCTCTGCAGGTATAAAAACTTGAATTTCAGCAAGAAGTGAACTGGTAACCTGACCAGAGCACAAAAAATCATTTACCTTTGTTGTTATGCCCCACTGAAAAGATAGGCAACTTCGCCAACTGAACTCTGAGAGAGTCAAGAGCAAAAGTCTGTCATCAAAACCAGACCTTCAATGAATCTATGAACCATCTACCAGGTGCTTTATGCTCTGATGCCTCCTAAAGAAAGAGCATCAAACTTCTTTTAAAAAGATGTTTTATTCATTGCCTACTAACTCTCCCTTATGAACCCAGTACTTCATTAAGAACAATGACCAATAATTATACCTGGTTTAGTTGCTGTCTTTATATTTATTGAGGTCTGGACTGCAATAGGGCTAACACCACTTTGGCTTCTTCTTTCTTCTGCTATGGCTTGGGCTGCAGCAACTGTGAGAAAGAATCATTCCATATTAAGAAAAGCTCTACAACCAAAACCTCATGAAATAAAAATCTAAAATAAATACATAAAATCCTATTTGAGGTTGCAGATCCTTTTATTAAATAACTAACTTGGGACTGCTCAAGAAGAAAAAACTTGTCGAATGAGACTTCAGACCTGGCACAGCTTTTCTTTGTAAAAACAACAGTTACAAAACCTTATGTTTTAAAATATGTAGCAAAGGACTATAGAGTTTAAAAAAAAAATCAAACTTATTTAATAACTTTTCTAAGAAGAAAACCAATATTTAGCGAAGTTATGAGTCTGACTTATACTTAATAATAAAAACTCTTTGCTACTGCACGTGTATTTGTGGGCTGAACACATGTATGTAAGTCAATTAGCACTGGCAGAATCATATTCTGACGAGACCCAAGCAGGGAAAGGTTTATGAAGACTTTTCATTATTTCATGACATGAAAGTGGATTAGCTGCATAAAGTAAACCATTAAGGGATGCTTACAACGTACTTCTAAAACTGGGTCTTCAAAAATAAATTTTCATTATAAATTAGACTCCAAAACGGTAATTTGAGCATTTGTGCAGAGACCCATTCACCTTATTCGAGTTTCACCAAGGAGAGTACAGTGAACTGCAGGGCTACAACTCCCAGTTAATTATAGAGAAATGAAATGCTAGCAATATTAATTTCACTAAATAACGAAACCCATTAAGTCAGGGAGACCAATTTACTGTATCACTTTCCACAGATTTTCTTTATTTTGGTATCAACTTTCACTTTAACTAATCACCTTTTAGGGTGTGAAGGTGAAGCGTTACAGGGAAAGCAGGCAGAGCAACCTGTAAGACAGCATTACCCCACTTTCCTGCACAGCTTTGAACAGGAGTGTCCTTACAGCAGTGACACCTTGTTCTCACCTTGGCTGACAGATACGGGGAGATCAACTTGGTTCTTACAGAAAAGCCCAACTTCGGGGGAAGCAAGAGAGCACACCACGCAATCAACCAAACATGAGAAAGCAGAAGTCAACGCCTGTTTCAAACAGAAAAGGCAATCCACAAAAGTAACGCACAACGTGCCGTGATTTCAACCATAACGTTAAGGACGAATAGTAGAATTTAAAAAAAGAAGACGACAGCTTTGCCAATGATCTCAGGCTTCTCTTTAATAGAGTAGTGCAGAATGCAAAGGAGGAAGGAAGAGTCTCCCTCTTCTCCATGCATTGCCATGACAACTAGTTGTGTCATGGTAATAACCCTCCCTATGGCTGTGCCCAAGAACAATCACCTCAAAGTGTTTAATCCCATGTGATGTCGGTGATAAATGCCGATTACAATACTTATTCAGCAACTCTAAGTTGTCACTCGCAGCTGTTGCCATGTCTTGTATTAATTTTTCATCGCAGCACCAAACAAAAGTCTTCCTCAGTTCCATCCCATACATCTCTGAGGCTCTTTTCAAACAAGTCAGAGACCAGATATACTGCGACACGGTAGGATTACCAACTGGCAAAGAGAACAGCTAAAAAAGGGCTCACTGTAATTTCACTATGTAGACCAAAAGTCAGTCAAAAAGCTGATTTTGTACTGTTGCACGTCACGTGGCTGGGAATCTAGCCCAAAAATTCACCAAGTGGAGAACAACAAAATTATATATTCTCAACACAATTAGATGTGAAAACGGTCTGAGGAAAACCAGCCTGCTGCAGGTTTTTCCGAGAGGAAAAATATACAGCCAGGGCATTTATATCCAGTGACACCTTTCTAGATCACAAAGGCTGAAAGAATGTAACTTTAAATGGTATTTGAAGAAGCTTAAGGCAAATACAGAAACCCAGTTGCATCTTCAGTCTCCCTCAGCAAGGGAGGAGAGACAGGAGGTGTACAGGCAGACTGAGCCAATTCAGCCCAGCCCAGCTGGGAAATGAGCCCAACAGAATAAATTCACCCTACACCTACACCAGGTTTAGTTAAGACCAACACTGGAATTTTGCCTCAACTCTCAAAGTTTAAACATCAAAATTTCTCTAACAAAGTTACAGTAAGAAGCAAGCTGCAATTTAAACAGGTACAATATTCATCTTGTTTTACTTGCAGAAGTATTTTATTATTAGAAATCTTGCTGAACAAACCAGTCATAATGGATGTAGGGGATTATGTATTTATTTATTCATTTAAAAAAAATAAACACACACTTGAATAATCTTCATGATTAGAAGGCACTCGTTTAAAAAACTGTGTCATATCTGCTGCAAAGCAATTAGTTCATCTTAATTAATTAAGGTTGCAAAAAATTACTTGAGGTTCTATAGAACAGGAAAGTGGGTTACAGAAACAGTACAGCTTGCAAAGGACACAGAGGTGAAAAAAGTCTAGAAATACTTAGCCAAAGATTTTGTGTGTCAGGTTTTTTTTTGTATGTCTGTTAAAATATTTACGTTCACGGCTTCAATGCTTCATTATTTGCATAGAAGTAACATGCTTACAAATTTGAAAGTAGCAGATTTAAAGGCACTAGGAGCGCACCTTCGTGTCACACAGAAGCAATCCATTTAACTAACAGAAAGTTAGAATTGAACGTGAACTGGGGATTTGAACAAAAGATTATTAAAAGGGGAACAGCCATCACATTAGATGCATCCCCAAGATGCGTCAGCTCAATTTCACCAAGTCTCAGGTCAACAGACAGGTTTTACAGCCCTTGTCAATTTTATGGTAAATTTACAATATGAAACTGTGATTTTCAAAATCCACATTCTACTACAGTAAGAGAAAATGAATTGCATACTGTTGTTCTCTATAACCTTTAAAAAAACACAGACTGTATTTTGCTTTAATATGATAAAAGAAACCTTAGTTTTTAATACATTTAAATATTCTTTGGCACAGATGCCTATAATTTTTTCCCCTAGTTTTCCATAATGAATGTAGCAGTCTGCTATGGAGCGAAGCTTCACTGAAAAGAATTTTCCACAAAATCTATCTCTGTAAAATAAGCCTAATACTTCTGTAATTAATCAGGATACCCCAAAACAGGAAACCAGTTAACAACCATTTCACTACAACCTGTGTCACATGCTGTATTATTGCGGGGTGCCTTCATGGACATATTCAGCAAACTTCCTGGAGAAGAAAAATTCTTAGAGGCAAATTAAATCTCATTTCTGTTCTGAGCTTCCCCTCCCACAGTAGTCACTAGACTCTCCCAAATTCACCTTCCAGCTCACTGTAATGCTAACCTTGCAGGTACGGTGGCACCTCCATTGCACTGAGCACGACGGCACTTCCTTTCACCGATCAGGTTTCCGATATGCCCTGAAAAGACCAGTGCTAAAAATAAAACTCTATTTCTATTTCAGTCCTCGCACTGAGTTAATACCCTTGGCCCTTGCCAAGACTGCCAAAGGACCCACACAGTTACTGTTCTTAGTAAACCGCATTAGGAACTGAACTGGCTCTGTCCCTTCACCTAGCGAGGTTTAGGGCTTCCATCCCCATCGCCTCTCCCGCTATCTCTGACCCAGCCGGATGCTGCCCCACTCGCTCTTCCCTTCCTGTGCCGAACCAGAAAAGAGAGCAGAAAGCGCCGACTTTCACAGAAATCCTTCTGGTTCTTATGATTTAGTGACTCATTATGCAAAACAAACAAAAAAATCTGAGACTAAGCCTTTGAAACGAAAGTTAGGAGGCCTCCTGAATGTTAAGCATTGTTATGAATCGAAGTGTTTTCAAATAAGTTTAAAACAGGTAACAAGAAGCCAATAAGCAATCCATAAAACAAAACAGATTTGAACTTCCCAGCAAATACCTCTGATTTTATAGCAAACTGTGTCAAATCTGCAAGATGCCATTTCTGTCTTGCTCCACTACAGGCAGCGACTGTTTGTCTAGCTGCTAGTAATCTTTTCAGTAACGGTGTTCAGATCCTATTTCTTTTAATAACTTTAGTACATGCTTTCAGGAAAGCAGGGGGAAGTCAGCATTCAAGTTTGAGATTTCTGCGTATTGTCTTTAAGCTGATTTCCACTCATTAATTAACACAGGTTAAGACAAATGGATGCAAGATCATATAGTCAGATGGTTTCAAAATCGGGTATTAGTTTCATACTATTACTCCTTGTTTAAAGGAGAAGGATGCTCCCTCACACAAACAGGTGGACAACACAGAAAGCTTCTAACAGGGAACAGAAGAGCCCTCTGTATGCACTCCTCTTTTCCCTTCTTTCTGTCTTTCCTCGTTGATCCTCACGTCCCATCTTTGGGCTGCAAGGACTGACAGGTTCCACAACCAAACACGTGAGCCTCCCAGTAGGCACCTTCTGACAGACCAGCTGGAAGGCAGATGGTTCTCCTGTTTTGTCTGGGCAGCCACCAGATGGGAAGCACACAGATCTCCAGAAAGCAGTGCACACTGTCTCTCAGCTTCAGCAGGCCAGAAGAGCTTCCTGTTGTCTTATCCTTATTCCAGATTCTATTTGTGCACTTTAATTGTATGTTTATGCCGTGCATGGAATACCTATTTTACTACCTTTATGTGCTTTCCTGCCCTTAAGCCCATTTCTGTAGCTAATCCTGTACAACAATCTGGTTTTCTTCCCAATGTTCAAGGTAGTTTAGGATGATTTCTTCGGTTCATCACAAGTATCAATCCCACTGGAAAACTGCTTGACACAAGCATTCGTTTGTAGTATATATGAATTAGCAGCTCCACAAGTAAGTATTTGAGACATATTTGCAAGAACGTAAGTTTTTACTTACCCTTAAGCATCCATACTCAGATTAAGAGCTAGAAACATTAAAAAAAATTCCCATCATTAACAAAACACTACTTATTTCTTGTAAGGAAACCTACAAAGATAACGGTTGAAGCAATCTCAAAGACATGTTACCGTATTTGTTCAGCCTAGGGCATGCTCAGAGAGGCACGAGGAGGGTTGCTAGAGTAATTTGTGAGTTGATCTCTGCAAGATTTTCCCTAGGG